TAGCACAGCACCCCAGGCTGCTCCAAGGCTACCAAGGCATGTGAGAACATATTCTCGTCCTCCTTGCATTTTCCATGCTTTGCTCCTTCCCTATTTGAACCCTGATAATCACTGATATCTATTTAGTATTGATATTATTATTGATATTTAAGAGCATTTTAAGCACTTCGAATGCATGTATTATCTAATCCTTACAACAATTTTATGGGTTAGATATCATTGTTATCATCTCATCCTCATTTACAAAGTATGAAACTGAGGCACAAGGAGCTTAAGGAATATGACAAAGACGGCCCAGCGAGCATGTGGAGGCAGAGTTCAGAGATAAGCAGTCCAACTCCAGGGTCCTGTGGTAGGCCGCCCCAAGCCAGCTATGCCTCCCCTAAGCAGAGACCCTTAATCCCTGTTTTGCTGACATTTCAGGCCCCCAACTGAAAATTCCTCCCATTTTTTGATGCTCAGAAATGTCAGCTTTCTTTGTCTTGTACTAGCCCTGCACTGAAGGATTTTCTAAGGCAGGCACGGTCTCAGGCCTCTGACTGATAGCCATCATTGGCCTCTCCCTGGTGCTCTCCCAGCGTGAACTGTTTTTACCTAATTCCCACTCTCCCTGGGCAGGAGGGGCTCCTCCTCAAAGCCCCCTGGCCTCTGTCCCAAAGCCAGGGTCAGCAAACAGCTACCAGACACAGGAAAAACATGGATGGACCTTGAGGGTATTACGCTAAGTGAAATAAGTCTGACGGAGAAAAACAATTATTGTGTGATTTCACTCCTAACTGCAAGATAAACAAACACAAAGATACAGAGAGCAGATTGGTGGCTACCAGAGAGGAAGGGGTGGGGGGAGGGAGAAAGGGGTAAAGGGGGACATTTGTAATGTGACGGATGGAAGCTAGACTTTTGGTGGTGAACACGATGCAACTGATACAGAAGGAGAAATATAATGATGTACATCTGAAATTATACAATGTTGTAAATCAATGTGACCTCAATTTAAAAAAAAGACACAGGGAACAGTGAAGGTGCCTTGGCGTCCGCTTTCCCATAACTGCAATCAGACTGTCACCCATTTCCATCTGAAAATAGACAACTTGATTAAGAGTAACTCACAGCCACGTCCTCCGTTAATTTCCACCTGAAAATGTGCCAGACTCTAGGGTTATCATAAAAGGATTTTACCTACGCCAGTGCCTTTCACCATCAGTGAAAGAATCAATATATTAACCTTGAAATAAGAAAAACTTTTAAAATCCTACTCCTGTCTTTGGCCATCACTTTTCAATTCTTTTATGGGCTTAACGTTTCTGTGGCTTTTGTTTACTTTTCAAACTCACTTCCTAACAACCTCATGTGGATGCTATAATCCCTTTTTAACAGAGAAAGCACAAAGGTCGCAACCAGCTGACCAAGTTCATCCAGATACCTAGTGGCCAAGGTGGGAATGAACCACAGTCCCTTCTAGAGAAACCTGACCCCTGAAGTTCAGCACCATTTGTTTCAGTTGCCTTCTGCCCTACACCGTCTCAAGGACTAATCATGCCTGTTTCTGCGCAGCTCCTGGAGGAGTTGTTAGTGAGGCACAGGATGGAGTGGAGAACAGGATTTCAGGGGGAACCAGGAGGAAGATTTGGGGATCTTGTAATATTAAATCATGGACAGGTGATCACAGCAGTTCCTGGAATCTTAGAGGTCCACATTTCATTGGCTCTTAGAGAAATTGTATCAGAACATATTCTGATGCAGTCCCCATGGGATTAAAATTTGTCATTTCCTGTTGAGGACCAATGATTTTCATTTACTAGGTGTCAAGGTGTCTGCATGCTGTTCGAACTCGTAAGGACAAAGTCCATTCTTGTATCGCTGCTGTAGGGCAGACTCAGGAGTATGCAGTCACCTCACACACGGGAGGGCCGGAGCTCTAGACGATGCTGCGGGGCATTTTCACTTCCCTGCTATGAAGACTCTCAGAAAACCAGCTTGTGGCTATCTCACTCCAAACAAGAAGGAAGGAGGCACAAAATGTTGCAGAAGGAACACAGGAACTGAAATTAGTAGGCTGAATGAAGAAGGCAAACGAGAGGGAAAAGCCTGTCACCAAAAGTCTCCTAAGGGATCTTGGTTATTTAAAATACTTCGAAGAGAAGGACTCTGTGGACTAATGTTTTTGGGAAATGCTATATACAACGACATCTTTCTTGAAGAGTCACAGCCGCTTTGATATGCTGACATACGCTTTCATCTTTAATTCATAATTCTCCACACTTATGGACCCACAGAAAAATGTTTTGTGTGCAACACTTTGATAATAGCCCTATTCTGAGAAATGGTTAGATAGTAACAGACTAAGACATGTATGTGGTTGCATGAACGAAAGAGGAACAGCCAGGGATGTTATGTTGGAAACGTTGCCCCAAGATGTGAAGTGGTCCTTAAGATCCTTTGTCGTAGTTGAGCAAATAAAGGACCACAAAGCCTAAGAGCATGATCGGTAAGGGGCACACAGATGTACAGGAATCTTAGGCAAGAACTCTTGACAAGAATTTACAGCTTGTTCCCTATTCTCTTCTTTCAACAAATTATTTATGCTAATGAGCCTGGCATTATCCCTCATCGTCATCTCTTTGGTTAATCACCCTTGATTGCCTCTGTTGGGCGTTCTTAACCTCAGGTTAAACAATGCAGGCAACCCTTTCCTCTTCCCTGACTATGACGATGCATCATAATTGAGCCATTTTTGCCTCTCTGGTCCCCCTCGTATTCTCCAAGCTGCATCCTCTGTACATTAATCTGCTAGTTAAATATTGATAGCAGCCCTCTCCCTTAATATTTACTTTGTTGCTCCATTATTGCTGCATGCAGGGTGATTATTTGTTTCTGTCTTTCCAGCCTGTTTAATCAGAACTGAGTCAACCTTTCCTATATTTAATCTTCTTGTCCAATCACAGTTGGAGAGTGTTTTGGAGAGTGTCCTGACATCAGCTCTGAAATAGTTCTCTACACTCGGTGTATATGCCATCATAGCCAGCAGGGGTCAGGAGGGCATTTCTCTCTGAGATCAGGTGGTTGGTGGTGAGAAAGGAAAGCCCTGCAGGCGTTAACCTGGGTTGAACATCTCTCTCTGAACACTGTCTCCTAAACTTAGCCCAAGAGAGAAACAAGGGCCACCCTGGGCAGCTTTTGTGTTTTTAATGGAATATTATAGTGTGTAAACTTACAAGAGTGGCCATGCTGACAGACTGTGGAATGGCAGAAAGTGTCCCTACCGAAAATAAAGAGACCTGCCTGCATCCCTGGTCTTGATGAGAATCTACGGGAGGCTCTTGGGCAAGTAACTGAACTCTCTCCATTTCATGGGAGAGCATTGAGTGATGAGTGAACAGGAAGCATCTTTGAAATATGCTCTGCTTCTAAAGAAAGATGCATTGCAGCATAGAAAGGTTAATATCCTCCTTGAAGGCAAGCAAATCCTCTGCTTCAGTCAGAATGGTGTGGGGGGCAGTCTTCAATGCCTGTTTCCCAAACTGGAAGCTTCGACCCCCCAGCAGAAAGGCCACTGTTGTCTTGTGTATGTGCATGTTTTGAGGAGGGGGTGATGATTAAATTCTAGACACATTTGTGTTACAAGCAAAGCAAAAAATTAAGATATGTTCTGGGCCATTTCGAAGCCCTGGGTTCCTCCCGTTCGTTTATCAGTGACTTAGGAAGTCTCCCTGCCGCTCCACCTCCCAGCAGAATGGAGGCAAGCAAGAAGGGGATTCTCCAGACGGCCACCATCCGATTTGCAACAACAAAGTGCCTTGCAGTTTAGAGCCTTTAGGTAGCAGAGGTGTCATATGTGAGTACACAGTTTCAATGGTTGCTGACAAGGCAAATAGTCCTTTGCGTTGGTAGAGTGAGTGGGAGGACACAGTCCTAATCTTTTCAGCTATTTCCAGGTGAGTCCTCCCTGCGTCTGAGTCCTGGGGAACTTAAGGCTTCTGAGGCAGTAGTGACATGTGTAGTCACAGAAACTAGAATCTGAATAGTTAACCTCTGAGTAGGCTACTCGTTTTGTCCCTGACCCATCCTTCGGTGGTTTTTGACTATTCGACAGTCCTCTAAAACTTCATATTCTGCCACATTGCCATGCTTTTTGCAAATGATTGCAATCTGCCCCCTCTCCCTCCTCCTGCTTCTCCCCTCACTTGATTGCCTTGGAACTTCCTACTCATTTTTGGAGCTGCAAATTGAATTTCCCTTTCAGTGTAAGCCTTCCTGGTCCCCACAAGTGAGAGAGGGCCCCATAGTGCCTCGCACAGACACTTTTTATAGCAGTATCACATTAACTTTCTATTTGTTTACTTTGGGTATTGATCAGCCTACAGAAAATAAAACAAAGCCTCATTCCAGGTACTTCAATAAGACAAATTCAATGCATTAAACTAGTTACAAAAGTGTTGAGAGAGTTGATAAGCCAAAGAGGGGACAACAAGGCAATCAGATTTTAGTTACACCAGGAAGCTGCTCACTAGGCTGCTAGAGCTAAAGGAACAAAGGTTAAAGGAGCTGATATCAGAGCCCAGGAGCCAAGGCTACCTGGCCAGATCTGGCCCATGGGACCTGTGACCACTGGGACACCACCCAAAGCAGAGAGAGATGGGGCGGATATCCTGGTCTTTCCCTGACGCCCATCCTCCAATCTCCTGCCACTGCTCCCGTGCCTTAAACGTGGCTCAAGGCCAGTTGCTAAGGGGACCTAGGACATGCAGCTTTCAGGAAAAGATCTAAGATTGGAACTGCAAGTAAAGAAGTGAGGGACTAGCTCAAATGCTTTTCTCCCTCGTAGACAGTGAGCTTCATTTTGGTATCCCCAGCACAAGAAAGATACTACATAAATTTGTTGAGTAAAGTATTGACTTAAAGTGAGATCTACTTTCTTTGTACTCTTGTCAAAAGGGCTTATGCCTTTTTAGCAAAATAATATTAAGGGCCAGCCCAGGACACAGCGATGAAGTTCATACCTTCTGCTTTGGCAACCTGGGGTTCGCTGGTTCGGATCCCAGGCATGGAGCAACACACCACTTATCAAGCCACGCCGTGGCAGGCGTCCTGCATATAGAATAGAGGAAGATGGGCACAGATGTTAGCTCAGGGCCAATCTTCCTCAGCAAAAAGGGGAAGACTGGCAGTGAATGTTAGCTCAGAGCTAATGTTCCTCAAAATAAAAAAAAAAGTAATAACATCAACCTTCTCACCTTGCCTTAAACCATGTTCTTTCTCTTCATCAAATTGAAAAGTTCTCTTTGTTTCCTTTAATTATGGTATTTCCATCTTTGTCTGTTGGCTTTTTACAAGTTTCCACATTCCCAGAGTTCCAAGAAGATGATAAGAAGCCGCTAGCAACCCTGTTTGAAATTTGCATTGACTTCAGTCATCTGTTCCCTAGGGCCCCACTCTGTAGGCCAGTCAGGCTAAGAAAGGCGCTTCTTTGCTATCAGACACATTTTAAGTCTTTTCATTATCAATTCACCAGTACAGCACATAATGAGGTCTTGTAGTGGCAGATAGGGAATTCATTTCTCAGCCAAGTGGCTGAACTTGTAGCTGCCAGATCGTGGAATATTATCTATAATTACTTCATGGGTATTCCGCAAAGATAATTTCTTTGAAGGGTAAAAATGGCAGGTTTTACTGTAGGCTTTGTAGATTAAGTCCAGGCCAAAACAAGATGAGCTGGTGTAGATTTCCAAGAGGGAGTGTTTCTCTTCTCCAGGATGAAATCATTTGGCCTCTGCCTTAGCCATGAAGCCACCTTCAGTGAAGCAATGGACAGTGACTATATGGATAGGTATTTACTGGTCTCTAAAACTCTGGGTTCCTTGCTATTTGCAATTTTTTTTTTTTTTTTTTTGGTAAGGAAGATTGGCCCTGATCTAACATCTGTTGCCAATCTTCCTCTTTTTGCTTGAGGAAGATTATCACTGAGCTAACATCTGTGCCAGTCTTCCTCTATTTTGTATGTGGGATGCCACCAACTGCATGGCTTGGTGAGCAGTGTGTGTGTCTGGACCTGGGACCTGAACCAGTGAACCCCGGGACACCAAAGTGGAGTGCATGAACCTAACTACTATGCCACCGGGCCGGCCCTGCTATTTGTAAGTTCTCTGTCAATGAGTTTCTATTTCAGTCATAACTTTCCTTAGAACTTACTTATACATCAGTGAGGTGGCAGATTCCTCACACAATTCAGGGAAAGAAAAGATCATAGGCTACTCCATGGAGAAACAAATTCCAGAAAACCCAAGGAGGAAAAATTCTTCTTGCTTGAGGAAGTGGGTGAGGAGATGGCAGTGGGGTTCTGGGGCCCAGTTGTACAGACTTCCCGAAATACTCCGGACTCACTCAAGTCCTATCGATGACTTGAAATCAACCAGAGTGGACATATTTACACCACACAAACTGGCATAAAATCAGGGTTTTTTCCTTTTCCTTTCTTTTCAGAGATCTAGTTGTAAAACATTTACCAGTGCGCCACTCGGAGGGGAAGAATTCCATTTTTGCCTACCCCTAACCTTTGATAAAGACCATCAGATAAAGACCACCAAGAACACATCTGTAGCCAGACAAATGAAGGTTTATGAATTTGCTACAGCAAGGCTGATGGAACACCACAGGACCTGTGGGGCATCTCATTAAGAGGGAGTGGGAGGGGCTGATTACAGGGTTTGGGCTTGTGGAGAATGATTTTTAAGAGCGACTGGGGAAGGGGGAATGGCTCTGCATTGGAGGCTGCCATGAAGCAGAGGCAGTTTAGAAACGAGGTGTGCTGCAGTCCTTGTTCAGGAGGAGGAAGAATGCAGTGCAGCTGAGGGGGCCCCTGGGAAAGAGGTCATTCGGTGGGAAAGTGGTCATCGCTCAAAAGGAGAGAGTTTGCCCGTCACTCTGCAGATGTGGCAGTATTGCCTTGGGAGACACCCTGCTTATGTAGCCTTGGCCAAGTCTCATCAGAAACTATGTTTTTAGCTTCTGTAGGAACATCACATTCTGGCCACCAGCGATACTAAGAAGTGGACTCGGGGTCCTGTTTCCTTGGAAGCTGCCAAGTTAAGATAAGCGTGGAATGCTGTGTCCAAACCCCTTAGGGCCTGGTTTGGAAACCAAAGCTGCTTCCTTGTGTCAAAGTGACCCATGGCCTCGGCGCCTCCAGGCAAGAGCTGCTGCACATTCCCACTGAGGGACCCAGACAGCAGAGCTGCTCAAGTCTGGGATGTGAGGAAACACAGTTTCCCAGGACACCGTAACTGACGCCCGTGAACGAAAGCAGTTGTTCCAGCTTCACTCCTTCTACCAACCCGCACCTGCGTCACGTTGAGTGGTCTGCCCGCTGGATTCGCAGGGAACGCAGTTGCATTTTTACCCAAAGGCAGTACAGACACAGTGAAAGCTTTTAAGATCTCCAAGTCTTAAACACCTTTCGTCTCCAGAACCGGGCATAAGCCTGGCACAAAGTAAGAGCCTAATAAATACTTAGTGGAATTAAATCCAGTAGAATGGGGTGGGGGGGGAGGTTTGGGGCAGTGAAATGGGACTTTGGGCACCTCTCAGGCCACTCTTTTTTGACAGGTCTCTGTTCCACGCCTCTACGGATTGTTTGTTACCATGGCCAAGTTCCTTTTTCTGTAGAAGGTGCCACTCCAACATCGTGTGGATAGGAAGGAAAGTGTGGTATCTGCAGCTGTACCTTCTAGGTGTGGCCCTTGTTGCTAGTAAACATAAAGCTTGATCTTTCTCTCTAGTTCAAATCCATTGGGCCACAAATTAACAAAGACTTTCAGCAACGTTTCTCTTATTTCGGTCCGCAAACCACCTGGACCAGGGTCACCTGAGATGCTATTTTAAAAATGCAAATTCCTGTCTCCACTCCAGATGAACCGAATTGGAGCCTCTCTCCCTGGAAACCAGGGTCTTCATCTTTCACACACTCCCCTGCGTGATGTTTGTGCGCACTACGGTTTGAGAACAGCTAATCCAGACGGTGTGATTTTTTTTTCTTTTCTAAGTTCTGCTCATCTAATAAATCAACGGGAACGTATTGATTCACTGGTCCATTCAGCCAACATTTACTGAGGGCCAGGTACAGAGGTAACTACAGCGAAAAAGGCTCGGGGAGCTTACAGTTTTCCAGTAAACTCATCTGTCAAGACCATTTGCCCTGATCTGAGAGAGATTTTGTTTCACTTTTTTTAGACCAAAAGGAAGAAAAGTGGCAGCACACTTTCTGCCCAGCAGTCACATTTGCTGATATTTACAGGCTCGGTTGTCTACAGGGGTTACTTCTCAGAGGATGGGGTGCTGGGGAGTGGGAAGAGAAATATGCTTGATTGTGCTGCCTCAGTTCTTATTGTCCCCTCTAGTCTAGTCCACTCTCCACCTCCTGAACCCCAGCTGATAGCTCAGTGTAGAGTCTGACGCCAGGGCCATTGCCTCATCCCCTCCCACTGCCAGATGCCTCGGCCTCTCCTGGGCTCCATTGCACCGGCCCTGGTGGGAGCTGAGGCAGGACCAACAGCAGCTCCCATTCCTTGGCCCCACCTGACCAGACCCCCTGGAGGGTCTGCTTCTTCCAACACCTCCAGACTCTGAGCATGCTCCCTGTAGTGAGTAGAATCTCACAGCCTTGCTCAAAGGCTAGTGGAAGTGGGTAGTGTCCCACAGAGGGCAAACCTTGACAAATAAGGGACAAGAGAGGCAAGAGCCATCAGGGACACATCTTGCTGTCCCACCACACACTCACAGACCCGTCTGTCAGGACCTGTCTGTCAGGAGATGTCTGTCCCTGTCCCTTTTTCTTTATTGCTGCCCTAGGAGAGCAAGAATGCATGTGAGCCCTGCCTCAGGCTCTGCTTTCCAAGGAACCCAGGATGAGACAGTGTCTCTAGCACAGTTTTTAAAAATTCATTTTTTTCCAATTTGTCTATCAAAATATTTAAGATGTCTAACTTTGGCATTTGGTTAATAATGTTGTGGCTATGGTTTATAACTGTGTGTCCCTCTCTCCCTGGCCATCAGGGATGGTGCCCGGCTCATATTTGTTTCCCCAGCCCAAGGATCATGCCTTCAATATAGCAGGAATTCAATAAGCGTGCATCTAATTCAATAATTCCAAGTGTCTGCCCTCAAGAGGTACCTGGTGCCGTCCTTGAAATGCGCTTGGTCCCTCAACAGTCAGGCACCAAAAAACGGTCAGAGCTGCCCCCTGTGATCACGCAAAATCAGGAGTGAAAGTGGGAGAGAATAGAGAATAACAGAGACTATATATTATAACAGTCAAATTCCCAAAACGCACTGCTGAGCGGACTGTCATTTTCCCAGGCTGTGAGTCACCAGCGCACCGCGGGGCCCCTCTGCGTCCCCTCCCGACCAGCAGTCACTGAAGCCGCTGGGAGGCTCATCCTACACTCGTGTCTCTGATTTTAACACGCAAATCACCCACAACCTTACCTTTCAAAGAACTCTTTATTTCATAAAATTTAATAGATTGGGAATACCCTCTTGGGTTAATTCATGCTTTTATCAAACACAGATATTTGCATCATGCATGGTTTTTAAAAAATCAAACCATTCTAGGGGCTGGCCCGGTGGCGCAGCGGTTAGGTTCTCACGTTCTGCTTCTCGGCGGCCCGGGGTTCACTGGTTCGGATCCCGGGTGCGGACATGGCACTGCTTGGCAGCCATGCTGTGGTAGGCGTCCCACGTATAAACTAGAGGAAGATGGGCACGGATGTTAGCTCAGAGCCAGGCTTCCTCAGCAAAAAGAGGAGGACTGGCAGTAGTTAGCTGAGGACGAATCTTCCTCAAAAAAAAAAAAAAAAAATCAAACCATTCTAAAAGGCAGTCTTCTGCCCATTCAGTCCCAATGATCTCGGCGTGGTCCCCACAGTTAACTATAATTAGCTCTTTTGGCTGTTCCTGCAAATATTTACAGTCACATTTCTAAATAATATATTGATATTTCTAATTCCTGATTGTCCACTTTAGACATTAACCATTAACATCCTATCACGGTCCATAAGAACTTACCTCGCTCCCATGTCACTGTTGCCCTCCCCCACCCTCCCGACACGGGTGACCGCAGAATTTGGCTCCGTCAATAGTCAGTGCATATGATTAAGCAACTACCATTCACTACTGAGCCTATCAGCACACAGGTCAACTCTCCTTCCTACACAATTCTTTTCCTGGAGTTAACAGTTACTCCATTTAATTCATTTGCCTGGTTTTCTTTGTATCCCAGTTTCTCGCCAGATACTCCAATAATTCTGGTGTAAATCTAAATTTTCCTCTGTCATACACTTATGAATATGCACCCCATCCACAGCTCTCCATCCTGTTTGGACGTAGCCTGGGTCCCTCTGAGCTTGCCTGACTGTGCAGCTGTCATCCTTGGACTCCTCTACTTTCAGGTCTTCTGCTTCTTAGATTACATTCTGTCCAGTAAATTTAAGTAGAGAATAAAGACATTTGCTGATGTGTCCGGACTCAGATTTTCCGTTTCCCTTGGCAGCTGTTGGAGGGTGTGCTCCTGCCAAATGAGGGAGTAAACCAAGAAATAGGGAGTCACAGGCCTAAGACACAGGAATCTCAACCAAGGGAATGGCCAAAGGAAGCTGAGTCACTCCCCTGAATTGCTTCTCTTCTACCGGATGGTCTAATGCTGACCTAAGGAGCAGATGCCACAGCATGCACATTCATCAAATCACCACCACGGACTCTTTAAATATCTTATAATGAAATATGTCAATTATACTCAATAAAACTGAAATTAAAAAAAGAACAGATGAACTGAAAACACTTTTAAAATTTTTTGCTAGTGAAGATTCTTTCTTAGTCTGACTGGCCTACAGGGCAGGCAGTTGCTCCGTAGGA